CTGTCTGACTTTTTCATATCGCATAGATGACATTAAAAGCGCATCGCTGAAAGAACTAAAGGCTATCCCAAAGATCGAGTTTTAGAAGTGTTTCGAGTATTGGAAGAAGAGCTGGCACATGTGCATAATATCCAATGGGGACTATTTTGAAGGTGACAACATTAATGTAGACGAATAAATAAATATTTGTTTCAAAAAACGAAAATTCCCGATATTTTCTGAACATAGCTATATTTAAAAGTACCTAATAATGTCTGTTTGTAAGTCTATTGTTTGAAATGCTATATTCCTAATCGAAAATTTAATGCAATCTCTTTCACTCCAGGGCATACGGAGAAAGTGGATAGGTACAGTTAATTATACGCCCATATCTGCGAATTTTGTGTTATCTGTAGACGTATCTATCTATGCAAAGAGGTCTTTCACCTTTGAGGAAGTAAAAAAATTAACAATTCAAGTTGTCATCGTTTTTTACTCGAGGTTCTGTCGTGGCCACCAAGTTGACCGGATTTAAATAACATTGATTTTTATGTGCAAGTTTGAATGTAAATCTGGTAGAACAGCTGAAATAAAAATAACATTTTATAATTCATGAATATGAATATCTTAGCAAATGTTTGCGAATAACAATAAGTTGTAGTGCTTCAGGAAAAAAAATTGGGTCATTGCTATCATTTTTAAGTGGTTTGTTCGTTCTATCGGCTTTGGCGAGCCACCAACAATCTGACCTAGCTTGAATATCATTATAATACTTACTTTGTCTCTTATACGTTTTATTAAGGTTTAAAAAATCTTGAACATTCCGTAAAAATATAAATTTCTCCCTTTTCACAGCTCCGTCTACTTTCTTTCCTTTTCATTTACCGCTACTGTAATCACCGTTATCGGTGTAAACGCAGCCTAATTACAATAAAATTGGCCGATAAAGCTTTATTGAATCAAACCGAAATTGTGTGTTACCAAACACGCGGCGAAGAAGAAGATTTTATCGCGTTATTATTGGGTGTAACACCCAACAGTTGGTGGTCATTAAAGACCGGACTTTTATGCATTTAAATCCTAGATAAAAGAGTCCAACTTTTTCAGTTTGTTATTGTAATTTAGATTAGTGCAGGAAAATAACGAAGATGATGATGAGTTTTTATCGGTTTTCCAATAAACAGTGTTAATCCGAATGAAGAAATAAATTTCATACAGTCCCTGTAAATATAAATTGTATCTATTAGATACAATAAATACACATTTTAGTAATGATTAACGTGAAAAGTGCAAACATTTCAATTCAGTAATAATCGTCTAAATTTAAACAGCATTTAGCATTATTAAAAGCGTTGATTAAGAATTCTTTAAAGTCTCCACTCAACGGTAAAATACCATAATATTATGTATTATATATTATACTATGTTGCCATGAATTCGTAGGTATTTTTTGTTGTTTAAAATGCAGTTGTCGGCGTTTTTTAGAGAACTCTAATATAAAAATGGTTGATTTTAAGGTTATGTTTGTGCAAAAATTATTTTTTACTAATTTCTTTAAAATGTCCAAACTTAAATATAAATTATATTGGGTAAAGTAATCATTAGTTAATTCTGCACCAACAAATGTACTTACCGAATTGGATCCCTTGGCAAAACATGATAATGCAACGATTTAGTTCTTGAATTTTATTTACAATTAAAAACACAATAATTCACCATGATCCCTTAGATAAAATACACACTAACGTAACTATATAAGCATATAAGCGTTGAGTTTCTTAATCAATGATATAAAGAATAATCAATCGAAATCGAGTAGTAAACCAGTTTTTTAGTTTTTTCCTTGCAACGTAAAACACAAATAACGTGCGCGATTTAGCTGTGCAATTGAACAAAATTTGTCGAGTAAGACTCTTTTGTGAAAAAACTACCTATTTATTTAAAAATGATGTACAGTTCGTATGCTTTAAATGTATTGTTGACATATTATTACGGTCTTGTGCAGCCCACACTCGACTCCTTTGATAAGGAATAGAACAATGCTTTTGGGGAAAATTTATTGGTAGATTTGGGCCACCAAGAAGTCCGGATTTAACGATTATGGACAACGAGTCGATAAAGACAACTTTAACAACGATTTGGAGAGATTAAAAAGCAAAATTACTGATGTGAACTTAAACAAGCGATATTAATAACACTTGTGTTGCCAGTGGGCGTTAAAAAGACATACCATTCGTGTATGGCAATTTCAAACCCATTAATAATTCACTTACCGATTACATAACCACGTGTCTATGTTGTTTTTGTTCGATTTCGACGTACCGCAATTCAAACCCACGTAAATTGGCGATTTCATCGTTGGAGAAAGAGATGGAAGATGGCTCGAATGTCGGTGGTTAATTTTTTTCGTACAAGGTCGTCCAAGCATAACAAGGCAGTTTAATTTGCATTTACGGTATCTGCATTTTCCTCAAATAATAAGAAGATGCTCTTTCATCATAGGAAGATCAAACTTCTATTTTGGAGACCAAAACTGGTAATGAACCTATGGGGACAATATTGAGGCTTGGGTGGTAAGAACAGACCATAGCTAGGAGCCAAGGCTTGGTCTTTAGATATTTCCCACAATTTCTTCGTTTTGTATTTTAATATTGATCTCGGTTCCCATGGATTTAATAGCACAGAAAAAAAACAAACAAAAAAGTAAATCATAACCTATTAATCTAGTTCTACGACCTTTAATGTTTATTGTTATATTTTGTTTGGATAATCATGATTTACATGGAGGTAAAAGTAACACTTACCCCGCCTTTTTTTTAAATGTATATTTTACACATTACGATATATTATAGTAAATAAATAAATATGGGTGACGTTCATAATATCGAAATTCACTTTATCGAATTCAAAATATCGAACACTTTTTATCGAAAATCAAAATATCGAAAATACAAAATGTCGAAAATCAAAATATCGAAAATTAAAATGTCGAAAATGATAATATCGAAATTTTATTTAATCGAATTTTCAATTTATCGAAAATAAAATATCGACGTTCATAATATCGAAATTCACTTTATCGAATTCAAAATATCGAACACTTTGTATCGAAAATCAAAATATCGAAAATACAAAATGTCGAAAATTAAAATGTCGAAAATACAAAATGTCGAAATTTTATTTAATTATATTATTTTAATCCGAAGTGTATATGTACAGAGGCGCCTCTGATATAGAAATGTACTCAAACTCAACAACACAACCCAACCGAACCCGCCCCATTGCCCCCCCCCCCGCCCCATTGAGCAAAAAACCCAACTAAAATGGGCTAATTTATGTAATTAAAAAGTGTTTTATTTTTATCGTAACATGAATTTGCCCATTTTAGTTGGGTTTTTTGCTCAATGGGGCGGGGGGGGGGCCAATGGGGCGGGGTCGGTTGGGTTGTGTTGTTAAGTTTGAGTACATTTCTATAAAACGCGCATCTCTAGGAGCCAGGGAGCCAAGATAATTCGGTGCATAACCGTAACTTTATCTACAGAGGCGCCTCTGTACATATACACTTCGATTTTTTTAATCATACATTTTAATTTTCGATATTTTTAAATCGATATTTTAATTTTCGAAATTTTAATTATTCGACATTTTCAAATCGACATTTTAATTTTCGATATTATCATTTTCGACATTTTAATTTTCGAAATTTTAATTATTCGACATTTTCAAATCGACATTTTAATTTTCGATATTATCATTTTCGACATTTTAATTTTCGATATTTTGATTTTCGACATTTTGTATTTTCGATATTTTGATTTTCGATAAAAAGTGTTCGATATTTTGAATTCGATATAATGAATTTCGATATTGTGAACGTCACCCGATAAATATTGACCACAAACATACCATCAAAATTGGTTGACCTTCCCGCCTCTACTGCACTGGTCAATAAATCGATTCGTGATATTCGCAAATATTTATTTTATTTATTACTTCTCTATATAAACATTTGAAATATGGTACAAGGTCGCGTTTGATTTAATATTCTACAAATTGTTTTTCTTTTGTAGGTGGATCTTTTTACCGAAATACAAAACCGACATTCGAGAATCATTTAATAAACCAAACACCCCCCCTTAAAACGTCACTGTTGCCGATATTTTAGACGATATCAGTCGCGTTCAGTGACCAATTTTTTTTTTTTAATTTTCGCGTAAAATTTTGATCAAAATGATGCCCAGGAATTCTTCGCCAATTATCGAGAAAGAACTCGTTTGTTCTTATCAGGTATGTCAGTTCACTAAAAAAAAAACCCGGGCCAATATAACAAAGGAAATAATCCAAGGCGCTAATTTAATCTTATTAAACCTAATATCGAAACTTAATTAACAATTAATAAGTTAACCTAATAAATTGAACAGGTGATTTTTTTTCTAAACAACTTAACAACTTACTACAGTACCAATCCAATAATATCGTGGGTGATATGGAATTCAAATGCCACAATTAATTATATTTTAACGCTTTGACTACTACCATTTTTGGTAACCGCTCCAGTTTTGCTTATATTAGTTCCTGATTACTTTTTAGGTTATACGATTCGAGATTTATCTATGTTGGTACACAAATGCTAAAATTAAAATCTTTATGCCCCGTTTCACCTAAATTGTTAGTGTTACTGACTTTAAAGTACTTTTGGTAAATGTATCCCACTTCTGATGTTAACCTTAAGTGTACTTTTTGAGAAAAATAAATTAATTAGGTGTTTATTTGGGTTTTAAAAATGACGACATGTGTAAAAATAAATAAATTCTTGAATAATTTAGTTGCATAATAACAATTTAAATAAACATGTGTATTTTATTGACATTGAAATTCATTAAATATATGCTTATTTAACGTTTATATCTGGGGGTGTCAGAATATACTGCAGTTTCTTTAATAATTCTTTTTACGAAATTTTTGGATTCTAGGTGGTACTTCTGCATTTTCCCTCATTAATAAGGATTATTTTTTTTCAGATACGTCTCGAGAAAGTATTAGGAGTAACAGTCTCAAATAATGCTGCTTTGACAAGTGATAATACTGGAATAATTGCCTATCCAGCAGGGTAAGTTAAATGGACTTGTTTAATGATGGTTCAAATTCAACCTCATTTTAATTACATCCTTAGGATCTATTGCAAACAACTAATAAGCATATTAAATTGAAACTCGTATGGTTCGTTGAGTTTTCATTTTTCTTCAGTTATAATTATAATTGTTTATGTAAATTATGCTATTAAGAGTATGGAAAATTATTGGGTCACTCGTTCAATGTGTATTTTTTATGTAATTATTATTATTATCGTAAGTGTGCTGTACATTGAAATTTCCCAATAATTCGCAATAAAACCAATTAATTTAAATATCGCCGACTATTGATCTAAGATCTAATCTGGGTTAAGCTGAAAAATTAATTGATTATATGTGGTTGTTACCGAATCCCTTGTTGAGGAGTACCCCAGATTGTACTTAGTTTTGGGTTAGTCTGTTGTCTCCTGCTTCCTTTATTATTTACTGGTGTTTAATTTATTTTAATGTGCAATAAACATAAAGCCATAAACAATCGCGAATTTCCTTTCTATTTTCATTGCATTCGAACGTAAACATTTCCTTTTCTAGTCGTAAATCTCCTTCAAATAAAATGCTGACACTTTCCCTATAAATTACCTTGCAATGCGTTTATGGCGAGTAATGACGATAATTAATCTTACTCAATAAGTTTATAGTTATGTTTTTGAGAATAAAGCCGGAACATGTTAAAAAATATCGTAAAAAAAATTATATTTTACTAATTTCTTAAAAATGTCCAAACTTAAATATAAATTATATTAGGTAAAGTTTTCATTAGTTACATTTTTTCTGACCTATACTTTTTATGGTTTTATTCAAGGCGTTTTGTAATATTAAACATTTCTGTGAGATCAGAATTTCAATTGAGTTTACCGTTTTCGGGATATTTACAAAAAATATAAATTTTTATGACGTCACAAACCTCGCCATGTGACCAACATTCCAAGATTTCTATTGGTTGAAAATTACCTTGTTGTCAAGTTGTCTTGTTAATGATTTCATTCGGTTATGTCAGAAAATACCCGAAGAGGTTATGTACAAATACTGTCACTGTCAGTTGAGTGAAAGAAGAAGAGGAGGTTGAAGAAAATTCTGAAATTAAAACTTTTAGTGATAGGTTTACACATTGAAACACCGTGTGAAACCTAATAAAATGTAATAAATAGGTACCTAATAGCTGTCTAAAGCAGAGTTTAATATATTTCATAGAAAAAAGTGGCAAATTAAAGCTGAAAATGAATGAAATAAATTTACAAAAAATAACACCAAATGTAAGTTAACAATGGTATTTATGATATTTGTGTATAGTTTTTATAAAACTTGCATCCCTGATGATGAGCTTCAAAACCTTTTGTAAGATTAAAAAAATGTATGACAAACTTTTGGACTGTTCGAAGATACTACGCTCTAGAGTACATTTTAAGATATATCTAAAAGAATATAAAGAACTAGGCATTATACTAATGAAATGCATTTACGGCAAAATATGATTATAATTATAGGTACTTTCTTTATTTGTTTAAAAGCTCCAATGTTCAATGTAACCAACCATTCCACAAGATTCCTCTGCTTTGGAGTCCGTTATTAATAAATCACTTATCTAATATCAATTACAATTAACATAACAATAACATTGATTTTCAATAATCTAAGTTTAAAAAAAACATAACCCGAAAAAAAGAAACGTCAAAAAAACAATTCTTCTTCTTCTTTTCAACCAAAATTATAGATCAAGTGGTTTTAAAACTAAAATATTATAACGAGGCGCCATCTATCTTAAGAGCGTGTGGTCAAAAACTTTTGTTGTTTTTTTTAGATGTACCGTGGTCCTCTTTAACACAGTAACCGAGCGACAAAGCCATATAATAAATGTCAATAGAAAAACAATAACCTCTCTAGCTTTCTCGTCATGTGGAAGATACATCGTAACAGGTACCGTATATTAAATTTTTGCTAATAAGAGACTACACGTTGATTTTCGTAGGAGAATGCGGTCACCAACCCGCGGTGAGGGTTTGGGATCTGCAATCGGATCTTCAATCGCAACATCCAGGCTTGACCCCGCAACCTCAGCAAATTGCCGAATTTTTGGGCCACAAATACGGCGTCAACTGCGTTGTAAGTTATTTACAACAATCCCAATACTAAATTTGTAAAAAAAAAACTAATTTTAGGCGTTTTCACCAACCACAAAGTACGTGGTGAGTATAGGCACGCAACACGACATGATTGTGAACGTTTGGGACTGGAAGAACAATATCAAGGTGGCTAGCAACAAGGTCAGCACCAAAGTGAAGTCAATCGCGTTTGCCGACAACGGAAGCTATTTTGTTACCGTAGGAAATCGACACGTCAAGTTTTGGTACCTGGAGCAGGAAAAACGAAAGGTAAGACCAACTCACCTCCCCAACACCATAAACTTTCATAACTATCTAGCAGACTTGCTTCCCTAACTTCCTTGTCGCAAACTTAACAGTTGATTTTGAGGACATCAATTTTAGGAAAAAAAATTGAACCTACACCTAGCCAAAGTTTTTTGTTTTGAATGCGTTCCACCAACTTCAAATACCGACAGACAGCTGTTTCGACCTTTATTGGGTCTCATCAGTGTCGGGCAACTTGGTGGAAGTTGGTGGAACGCATTAAAAACAAAAAACTTTGGCTAGGTGTAGGTTCAATTTTTTCTTATGAATATTACCAGTGATGGGTCAAGAAAGTTTCTTAAAGAAACTAAGAAAATTGAATGTTTACCTCAATTTTAGGAATCTTATCTTTGGGGTTGCCTTAAAGTTTCTGAAGTGTGTTGCTGCTTGAACTAAAAGCAATGTTGAACTCAACTATCTATTAGGGTGGGTCCAAAACTATTGTCTTTTATAAAACTGAGCTCTTTCTTGTATCCACTGTTACTAGGTGGTAAGTTTACCAACCTACGAACAAGAAAGTTAAAACTGGCCTGCTTATGTTGTGTGCCTGTAGGTTTTCTGTAGATATCAAACTCTAGAGTAGTTGGATCTAATCACTGGGGTATTTAAATTTGGTAGCTCTCAATGTTGTCCTTTTTTAATTATCGTTTCTACTTATCCAATCCATTCATTTGATTTCCATGCAACTAAGGTTAATCTCGAAGCTCCAAAAGAAGTATAGGGTCATTCGATCCAAAAAATAAACACTTTATATGGACAAAATCGGTGTTTTATTAGTCTCTTGTAACAAATAAACATAAATAGAATGAATTCTCCTTAAACATACCTTAAGCAGCTTCGGGTGCGATCGATGTATCGGCAAAAAAAAAGCGGTAGAAACGTAATTATTGACGAAAATCAAAGTATTCTGTATTTTGGTAGGTCCGTTGCCATTTAGGTAGAAACACCGAAATTTCGGTAGGTTCGACAACACCATCGGAAAAGCAGTTTTTAAAAGAGGTGTGACTGCTTTTCCGATGGCGGCGCTAGTGGGCCGTCGAAAGAGCCTTAAAAACAATACTTATTGCATTCTTCAAGCAATACACACTCATATATCGACATGTGAAAAAGTTGTATTTCGAATAGTTAGAGGCACAATGGTCATTCAGCCAGTTCACTTGAGTACAGATTTTGAAGACTAATATAATGTTTTCTTTCAAAATTCATCGTTTGTCATGGAATGACTCTACACTTAATTCGAACACTTTTCAGTACAAGGAGGCGGTGCCTTTGATGGGCAGATCGGCCATCTTGGGTGAGCAACGGAACAACTATTTTTGCGACGTTGCCTGCGGTAAGGCCGACAGCGGCGATAGCACCTACGCCATCACTAGGTCGGGGTTGCTGTGCGAGTTTAACAACCGACGCCTGCTCGATAAATGGGTGGAACTGAGGGTGAGACTTGATTAACTCTTCTGTTGGTTGGGAGATTTTACGAGTTGTTTTATTTAGACGTCGTCGGCCAACTGCATTGCGGTGGGGGAGAAGTACATTTTCGTCGGCTGTGCCGAAGGTATCATCCGATGTTTCGATCCGCAGCTGAGGTTTGTCACCACTCTCCCCAGAACGCATTATCTAGGGGTGGACGTCAGCTTGGGAACCAACATCACGTAGGTGTTTATTGTGGGGTTCTTTATGCGTTTTAACGTAAAATGTTGATGATTTAGTCACATGGGTTCGTCTCCGGACAACGCAAAGTACCCGGACGCGGTTGCGCTTACCTACGATGAAGCCAACTCGAAATTGACGTGCGTCTACAACGATCACTCGATCTACGTGTGGGACGTGACGAGTATACGGCGCGTGGGTAAATCCCACTCGTTCCTCTTCCACTCGGCGTGCATCTGGGGCGTGGAGACCGCGCCGTCCGGCAGTCCGCTGCCGGACGGCACGTTCCTCACCTGCAGCAGCGACGACACCGTCCGCTTTTGGTCGCTAGACGCGCCGGACAACGCGTCGAAGAGCGTCTTCCCGCAGAACATTTACAGCAAGGTACGTACGACAGTCCCCTGGCTAGAGATTTTTTCGAAGTGAGTCGGTTTCGCAGGAATTGATGAAGGTGCTCTACATCGACAAGGAATTGGCGTACCTCAAGGATCTGGACATATCGGGGACGACCAACAACGAAAAAACTCAAGAGAGTTCCTCTTACGACGGTAGAAACGGAGTCAGATGCATCAGGATCAGCCCGGACGGTAAAAGTCTGGCATCCGGCGACCGATCAGGTAAATATAATCTATAATATAATCAGTTATCAACATATAATGTTGCTCCACACCTCAAAGTCCCACCACGTGACCACGTACGGAACGCAGTCTTTTGAAAATTTGGCCTTTAAGACTTTTCAGGTTATGTATCTGTCAAAGTATAGTCAACCAAAGAAATAATATTATGTTTAGGCGTTAAAAATGTATAAATCTTTATAACATTACAATAACAATGGATGTTTTAAGAATTTAAGAATATAAATACTGCATTTAATGAAATTCTAAAATGGTGCCAAATAAGTAATATTTTTGTGCATTCGCTCCAAATATCTGGTTTTCTCCAAAAAATAATTTTAACTAAACAGCATTTATTTAAAAAAATCTAGCTTCTCTATTATGGAATAAGAATATCTGTATTAAAGGTAGGTTAATATATTATAACAAAAATATCATCTAATTTTGTAATTTTAAGGTTAGAAAAATTTATTTTGACCAAAATAAATAAGTATTTTGGATTATTTAAAAGACTGTATAATATGGTATTTAAAAATGTGGTAGTTCTTCTTATCCAGCTTAAAGTGTACCTACATAAAGTTTTGTCAATACAAATAATTAAAAAGCTTCGACTGAATTTTATTTACATCAAAAAATCATTATAACTTTAAAAATTTTAATAAATCACATTTCAGGGGAGTATTAAATATTTTCACATTGCAAGTTTCTCTAAAAAAGTAAGTATGCAGAGAGGTATGCACAAGTTTTGTTGTTAGAAGTATAAAAGCTTCAATTTAATTTGAACCATATTCAACAATTATTTAGTATACCTATATTTATTTATGACTACATTAACACACTCTTTCAAATAATCCACTTATTTATTTTGGTCAAAATAGATTTTTCTAACCGTAAAATACAAAATTAGATGATATTTTTTGTTCTTATACATTAACCTACCTTTGATACAGATATTCTTATTTCATAATAGAGAAGTTAGATTTTTTTTAATAAATGCTGTTTAGTTAAAACTATTTTATGGAGAAATGTAGACCCAATGCACAAAAATATCACTTATATTGCACCTTACACATTGGAATTTTATTAAATGCAGTACTTACATATATTCCTAAGTTCTTCTGGTCACGTGGTGGGACTTTGAGGTGTGGAGCATAGAACCACCTAACGCTTCGATTTTAGGTAACATTAGAGTCCACGAGATGGCTACGATGAAGGAAACCTTGAAAATCGAGGCTCACGATGCGGAAGTTCTGTGTTTGGAGTACTCTCCGAACGACCCGAGCTTCAATCTGATGGCCAGCGCCAGTCGAGACCGGTTGATACACGTTTTCGATGTTAAACGCGTAAGTAATGTCCTTGCATTTGGTGGTAAGTAAGAAGACTAGCAGACATTTTTATTTCAGGGGTACGACTTTGTACAAACTCTTGATGACCATTCTTCGTCTATAACAGCGGTAAGGTTCTTGAAGAACACGAAAAACCTGCAAATGGTTTCGTGTGGAGCCGATAAAAGCTTAATTTTCCGGTCTTTAACGGAGGTAAAAGTACACACGACGCGATTAAACTTGCAAAACCAAATCGAAATCTTGTTAAATTTTTAGTCGGACAACGGTAAGGTTCCTCAGTTCGTTCGAGACCACAACGCGTCGGGAAAGACCACTCTTTACGACATGGAGGTGGACACCGGACAAAAACACGTTCTGACAGCCTGTCAAGACAGAAACGTCCGAATTTATAGCGTCAATAACGGAAAACACACGAAGAGCTTCAAGGGGAGCAGCGGAGACGAAGGAACGTTAATAAAGGTAAGAAATTAATAATGACAGTGTAGGTATCAAGAATTGCCAAAAGATTGAGGAAACAATTGTGCAAACACTGGCCAATGGTAAGTATCAATTATTGGCCAAAGTTTGTACAGTACTCATAGGGTCATTCTATCGTTTCGGGTCACTGTCACAAATAACGTTTTACTATTTTTTTTTATAAAAATTTTCTTTGTTTCTGGTGTTACCATGGTTCTGTTTCGGGTGTTACAAGTACAAAAATTTAACACTTTATATGGACAAAATCGGTGTTTTATTATTATCTAAGTACTACAAAATAAGATGGTAACAAAAAAACATAAATAGAATGAATTCTCCTTATTATTATTAGCTCGTTGCGAAGGCCCGTTTATTTTAAGAAGTATTTCATTTACTTTCATCCAAAATGTGGTGGTAGCATTAAAATATCACTGCAGGATGAAGAAATGTTGTTTTTAAATATAAAACTACATACAATGCAAAAATGTTTAAAAAGAATATGCTTACATGCTAACTAGTTTTATTATCGATGCCGTTACAGCAATAATAAAACCCAATCTGCGTAAGAGAGTTAAAAATGGATTTTGTTGATTTTCAGGTGGTTTTGGACAGATCGGGTATATTTCTGGCGACGTCTTGCACCGATAAGTCGCTATCGGTGTACGATTACTATTCGGGCGAGTGCATGGCAACCATGTGCGGCCATTCGGAGCTGGCAACGGGGCTCAGGTTCACCAACGACTGCAGAAGACTGATATCCGCCAGCGGAGACGGGTGAGACATTTTTTCAGCCACTCATTTCTTACGCCACGACTTCTTTAATGCCTCCCAAGTTTTTTGACCGAAATGATATTTTTCGAAGGTGCATTTTCGTGTGGCGCGTTCCGCACGACATGGTGATAACGATGCACGCGCGCCTCACGCAGCAGGCCATGCGTTTGGGGAAGCCCCTCGACACCCGTAGCCTAGGCAACCGAACCGACGACGGCGACGCGGACGCCACCACCGACGCCAACTACCGGTCAGTTTCGAAAACAATGGGGTAGTTAAATTTTTTCTGACCTATACTTTTTATGGTTTTATTCAAGGCGTTTTGTAATATTAAACATTTCTGTGAAATCAGAATTTCAATTGAGTTTACCGTTTTCGAGATATTTACAAAAAATAAATTTTTATGACGTCACAAACCTCGCCATGTCACCAACATTCTAAGATTTCTATTGGTTGAAAATTACCCTGTTGTCAAGTTGTCTTGTTAATGATTTCATTCGGTTATGTCAGAAAATACCCGAAGAGGTTATGTACAAATACTGTCACTGTCAGTTGAGTGAAAGATGGTCACCAAATTCATTAAGTACCTATCATCCTTATTACGAGGTATCATATTACTGTTTGATATTTTAGAGTCCAAGAAGTATCTAAAAGAATATAAAGAACTAGGCATTATACTAAAGAAATGCATTTACGACAAAATATGATTATAATTATAGGTACTTACTTTATTTGTTTAAAAGCTCCAATGTTCAATTTAACCAACCATTCCACAAGATTCCTCTGCTTTGGAGTCAGTTATTAATAAATCACTTATCTAATATCAATTACAAATAACATAACAATAACATTGATTTTCAATAATCTAAATTTAAAAAAAACATAACCCGAAAAAAAGAAACGTCAAAAAATCAATTCTTCTTCTTCTTCTCAACTAAAATTATAGATCAAGTGGTTTTAAAACTAAAATATTATAACGTGGCGCCATCTATCGTAAGAATCTTAAACTAAACACACTGGCAACCATAGAAAAAGCTGGCAACGTTGTCAATAGCCTAGTGACGTAATTAGGAGATTTTTTTTTGTAAATATCTCGAAAACGGTAAACTCAATTGAAATTCCGATTTCGCAGAAATGTTTAATAATACAAAACGCCTTGAATAAAACCATAAAAAGTATAGGTCAGAAAAAATTTAACTACCCCATTTGATCGTCGGTTTAAAAAAAATGAAACGACTTGTTTTTGATGCAGATTCAGTATCGGTCAGCTGCCCAAGTGGGCCAAGAGGCAGTTTACTGAGGAGGGAACGGCACCACCGCCTCAGAACAAGAACGTGGCTGCGCCAAAGGGGCGCTGGGCGCAAAGGGCGGAAACCACTCTGGGCGCCAAATCAGGGGTGTACAGTATATCGCCCTTTGCATCCATAGGTAAGGACCAACTATTGTCTTAAGCACAATTTTATTTAATGCGGATCAATTTAGATAGAAGACTGGATGGATCGGATGGCTCTAAAGACAGCTCTCTAGATAGTGGTACAGACCTCAAAAACTATTCGGAGTTTAAACGGGAAATCCATACAGCAACTTCTATGCAGAAGGTAAGTACCAAAACATATATTATAACTTTCTTATATCCAGCATTTTTCTCTGAAACAATTTTCATCGTCTTGAAAACTTCTTACTGGAGTACAGTTTTAATAATAACAGCGTCTGCTCTTCTTCTTCCAACGTTGCAATTGTCTTCTGCTAGGTCTTCTTTCACTCCTCTTGCAGACATTGCTTTCCCAGCATCTACCTTATCTAGACTTCCCAGTGTTTTTACTATCTTCTCCAAAATGAACGGCATATATCTTCAAAAGACAAAAGGTTTCCGTACTTTGCAGTTCCAATGTGTTGCCTTGTTACAAAATAATATGGACCCATCTGTTTTAAACGCTCATAACCATATAAATTAACACGAGTGGAGGTTTTTGGTCGCATTTTATAATAGCTGACTCTACTTAGCGATCAAATATGCAGTCGACTAATATATTAATCAACAAAGTTAAACGCCTTGTATTGTTAATAACGCGTTTTTCGTCGTAGTTTTCGAACGTAACACTGCGCAGCGATACGCGCAGAAGCATAATGACCGACGACAGTGCAATAGGTGACGTGGAGTCCACTGCGCATGACGGCGACATAGATTCCGATAACGAATACCGATACCGACCTCTCTATTATCCAACGCAAGCCGATTCTGCAAGGTAAATTATTATTAACTATTATACAGGGTGTTATGTAATTAATGTTATATATTAAAATGGGTTGTTCCTTAGGGTCCATAAAGAAGCACCTGAAACTTTTTTTTTCTAAATTCCAAAGTCTAAAAATAATTTATAATAACCTTTATCCTACCAAAAAGTACGCCACTGATCGACTAGGAACTTTAGGTTAATCTGGTGGATTTATTATGTTATGGTTGGTAAACAGTGTTTCCAAAATCTCTCAAAAAAGTTTACAAACATTGTTTAAATTTAGCTTAATTACAAAAATGACAAAATTAACAATGCAAATTGTCAATTTGGCGTTTTTATTAATTGTTGGTTATTTCATTTTTGTACTGAAGGTAAATTCAAACAAAATCTGCCAACTTTTATGACAGAATCTAGTGCATTTCTTTTAAATTTTAGGTTATGTTTTCAAATTGTAAATATCTTAACTAAGGAAGTGCTTTTGGATTTATTTACACAAATTAAATGTTTAAAGTTTAACCTGTGAACTGGTCCCAATTTCATCTGAGTAAACAGAGAAAAACACTGATGAAAAAATTAATTTTGTGGTTATGGATTTCAAATTTCAAAGGTACTAAATTTTCTAATCATTGCTTAAGCTAATAGCTGGATCAGTAAATAAATACAGAAGGGTATTAGAGCTTTAAGGGCATACAACTTTTGTATTTATTGAGTTTTTATTTATTTTTTGCAAGAAAAATTTTTAGTAACAATTTTTTACATCTGGCAACGCATAGCTACTTTGTTGGTTGGTATCTATGTACTCACAAAATACAGGTGTGCAGAGATAAACAAGTGTGTAACCAGTGGCGTATCACAAAAAATATAAAAACTTCTAATGCATATTTTTTCTTTATCTTTGGAAAAATGTTTTTTTTTTAATTTTTCCTTTATTCTTTATGTCAAAAGATATTCAGTATTTTAATATATAACATTAATTACATAACACCCTGTATGTATATATATTTATATATATATATAAATATATAATCGTTGCTTCCACAGTGGAAGTGAATTTACCGTCACGAACATGGACCAGGACGAGCTGAGAAAATCGCAACGGAAGAAAAAACCTCCCACGATTAATTTAACTGCGGCAAACGTTCCTTACGGTAGCAACGAGTCAGACGAAGACGACGACGATGTAAGTAAATTAAATTACAAAAACGAACGCAATTTTTTTTTTCGCTCACAAAAAATAAGGGTATGATGGTCAAAGTATAAACATTCATATTATCGATAAATCATAATTTCTGGTGGTGGCTAGAGACATTTTTCTTCATAGCAAACAATTTAATTGATTCTTGTAAACAAAATCGAGTAAGTATTGTTGTTGGATCGATGGGATTTTTCGTTTTTAAAGGCCTCCACGCCTAGCGGAGACAACACCGACCGAAACCCCATGTCCCTTCTGTCCGTCAGTTCGGAGTCCTTGGATCACCTGGTCAGTCGCGAGAAGTACCTTCAGTCGACGTTTGAAAGCATGAGCGGGGCCGAAAACGAACAAACGCCCAGTAAGTAAAACTTAAGCCTGAATTATAGATTGTCTTCCTTCCTTCCTCCCGTAGTCGTGCCCGTACGATTTGTGCGTCTTGTAAAAAGTCAATTTATGGATTTCCGTGTAAAATTCCGTAACCATGCGCGATGACACCTAAAATGGTTGACATTTGTTTTTGTTTATATTCTGCGTTTTACCCATTGTGTGTGAATATGAAAGATAATCATTTATATATTAGTGCAGTGATCACAATTTTAATTGCCCAGGCAGCTTGTTGTATACTGCCCAACTATGGAGAAAGGCAGTAACTGCTAAACAAGAAATTTGTGGGAAATTAGCATAAACTACATTTTTATAAAAAGCAGTAGGTATTTAACTGATTTATTTAACTTAAAAGATAGTTTACTGCATTTCTTGTGTCCATAGCTTTATCATAGCATTTGTAGTCACTGCCTTTCTCCATAGTAGGGCAGTATAATGAAGAAAAAAAACATCGTACAAGACGTTGGAAGACTCGCCCACTTTACCAAGACCGGGAAACTACGGGGTTTTACAAAGCAACGTTTCTAAATAGAAAGACATTGATCATAAACAATATCTAAATATCCTATTTAGAGACACAAATTATTTAATAAACTGAACACCCATCATCTTAAATAATACTAAACAATCATGTATTTTAAATATTTTGTGCCTACGCGCTGTCACCCTACAGCGCATGTCCATAACAAGCACTGTGATTGGTCATGTCAAAGACCTTTACGGTGAAAGATAAAACTTACGGGAGGAAGGAATGCCGTCCTTACGGTACGGGAATCTATAACTGGCACTACGATTTAAATAAACATTTTTGGCGTAATTGTCACCATTAACATTGCCCGTTATTAATTTTAATTAAACTTAACAATTATTGATACTTTAATATATTAAAATAACTTTAAAATATGATTTTGTTAAGAAAATATTTTATTCTTTGATTTTTTTATTACTATAATTGCAAAATATTATCACAAAGTATTAAAAATTCTTACACGGGAAATGTTAATGCTGACAATTACGTAATGATCATCTTCTACGGGAGGAAGGAAGGAAGGCAATCTATAATTCAGGCTTTAGGCGATGATCGGGCATTTTCGAATCGGGGTGTTTGTTATTTTTTCAGCCAATAAGACGTCGATATCCTCTAAGTTCCTGCGCACGGGTGAGCGCAATGTGGAAGCGATAAACGCGGTGAAAATGACGAAGAACGATCCGGACGCGATGCGGACGAGGCAGGAACTTCACAAGCGCATCGCCGACACCAAAAAGAAGCTGGAAAGTGTAAGTTACCCACAACTAATAATTTCTCTTTCTATATATGTATAGTTTTCCTGCAAATTTATCCACTTATCTAGGGCGGTTCTTATCCAAAACACACGCAAACACTACAAAGACGCATTTGGTTTAAACACGAAAAAAATTACCGACAAATTCAGCAAAGTTTTAGTAAAGATGTGAGTAGAGAAAAGTTTAACCGGAAAACTTTTTATTAACTATCTAATCTTAATGATCTATTAAATTATCTAATTTATCGGGGTATCGTGGTTCATCTAATACTAATACACATAATACACACTACAGTAATCGGCAAAAGTATGAAACAAATCAAATGTATCACTTGGTAAATAAAGGTTAGGATATAATGACCATTTTTTCTTTCTAAGACTGATAGAGAAAAATAGATAGGATAATCCACTCTTTACCTTTTAAAATAAACATGGTCATTATATCCTAACCTTTAAAGTCAAGCAAAAGTTAAAAAAAGAATAAACAATATTTGAAACAATTATTGTTTAACTGCTAGACGGACATTTTTTGGATATATTGACCTGTTTAACCAAAATTTTTATTCGCACCTATAATCTAGAGGTAAAATATACATAATTGTTTTTATCTCCACGCGGTCTATAATTTAAACTTTATTGTTGTCAACATTCGTTAAAGAAATACCTTGTTATGGCCTAGGCCGATAAAAAAATTTTATGAGGCAAGTAATTAGTTCGATTTTTTCTCGCTAGGGGTATTGTTTTGACAAATTAATCCTTTTCTAAGTAATTAACGTACTAAACTGGTTTAATTTATTTATAATAAGAACTAATTTGTTTGTTTTACTGTTAATGTTTAATATTTTTTATTAAATTATTGTAAAATTAAATATGAATAATAAAACAAAAATTGAGGTTAGGCAACCAAGAAAACGCACGATTCTTTTTCTACGATTTAAATTATCTTTAAGTTTTAATTTGCTTTAGGTTTTCAGTGAAATTAAATGTTAAACACAGCTTAAACATTCCAAACTACCTATTTTTTAAATAAAAATCCAAACAAATTGAAATTAGATACCTACCTATTTATTAAACAATTAATTGAATTCAATGTAATAGCAAAAATCCATTTCTACTTAAATCATGTAGCTAGGTATTGTCAAACTATTACTGCTTCTAAAAGCAATAATAATTATTGTACATTTAATGTAATCTTTAGCTAATAAATAAATGAGATTCTAAAAAAGTGAGGTTAGTTCGCTTTGATGTTGAATTAAATTGACCTATATAAAGTGCTTTGAAGATAAAATGTTGTATGCCATTCGGCCAAGAAGTGCCTTTTTGTGCTTTGCTTGAGCTTAGCACAAAAAGCCTTACTTCTTGACCTAATGACATAAATAACTATTGTATCCAGTATAGTTTTATATCTTTAAGAACAGAATAGAGGGAATTTTCCAAAATTTGGTCCAATCGATTGGTAATCTTAAATTAAGAATAAGATTACTTCATTTAAAGTCTTTCTTGACATTTAACAGGCAAGAATAAGATCTGCTTGTTTAAAGAAAGATTATTATTTAGTTTAATCTTGGGTTTAGCCTTTATACTTAAATCAAGTGAATTTTTTTAAGAATAAAGGTATTCTTACATTTGGAAAATATGTTTCATACTTTTGCCGGGCACTATATAATCTATTACACTATACAGGGTGAGTCATTTAACTTGAAACTTTAAAATATCTCAGTTAGTATGCATTTTCATCAATTTTGTTCGATTTTTCTTCTGTATACGATTCTCCAATATTTTTTGAATAAAATACTTGGTTTTATTTTTTAAATTTTAATTAAAGTAGGTGCTCAAAATGGTGGCCTTCGACTTCAATGCATTGATTAATTCGCATTTCGTTTTAATATTCTGCCAACACTGCTCTGGTAAATTCCCAAATCTCTAGATAATTCTCGTGTGCTTGCATGAGGATTAGCGGCCGTTGCTGCTAATACATTCATTTCATTATTTCCACCTGTGACTTTCGCTCGACGAACTCTTTTTTTCGGTTGAACACTCCCGTGATATTAACAGCATCATCAAGATTCTTGCCTGCTTCTCCATAAATCAAAATCGTTTCTATTTTTTCTTTCACTGTTAAAAATCCATTATGAAGTTTCAAGTTAAATGACTTACCCTGTATAATCTATTACATTATATTTTACTAAACAAAATGGTTAAAATACTCTTTGAAGTGCCTTATTCTCAGTATCCTGGATAGTACTGCGCACATTAAGGCCACCACAAATTAAACTAAAATTTAACGCTCTTGTGACCCCGCATTATCATGACGATTTTTGTAGGTCGGCCACGGCAGTCCGCTAAAATACAGCCAATCGATACACGACCTGTCGCACATCCCGGTACGCGACACCTGGAACAACAAAAAACAAGGTAACGACGACGTAACGACAACTACTAACACTCCCGCGAACACTAACCACCACTCTAATAACGATTACCCCTACCACTACCACCACAACGACGATAACAGCGGCAACGTCGCGCAGAGCTCGAGCGTCCCAAATAATTTGCAACTCTGCGGCTGCTTGATGCAAGACATCGAGCGAAACACCACTCACTTGAGTAACATTTTGAGTTTGAAGAGTCCGGAGAGGACTCTGGACGATCTGATTCGACCTAGAAAGTTGAAACTAGACAAAACCTTGGCCAAATACAAGTTGAACAAAAGTCTGCCTGTATCGCCTGTATCCGAAGAACGGCAGTTCTCCGACTACGCAGACTCCAACAGAAAGTCCTTCAGCTACTTTGTAGATCTGCAGGATACCGATGCAAGCTTCAAAAAAGTTTGCAGCGACATCGAGCAGTTCTCGAAAGATTTCAGCGTTAAATACGACCAAATAGCTTCGAACGTTGAAATTGATGAAGAGGACGGTAATTTTAGCTCCGACTCGTTGGAGGATTACAGTTTCCGATCCGTGAAACAAAAGCCGTCCAAAAAACAGTCAACCCCGCGTCGGTGTATGTCGAACAACGAAATCTACGCCCTCCTAACCGAAGACCCCCCCACCAAAAGCGAAAGCTTCTACTTGAACCAACACAGAACTTCTCAGGACAGCATTCTTTCCGATGATAACCTATTGGACTGTGATAACAAAAGTCGCTGCACTTCAATGGAAAGCATACTGTCCAACGAGAGCGATTGCAAGAGCGCACCACTGGAAGTGCTCTTCAATAAACCAGAAAGAATGCTGCACTCGCAGAGCGTACCGAAAAATTTGCTGCTAAGTCAAAGCGTACCGAAAGAGTACACATACGACCCGTCGCTCTACAACTACAACTACTACGACTTGGACAACATAGAAGGGGATTTTAAGCGATCAAAATCATTGTACAACCCCAGCACTTCAACTACAAAGTCCAATCTCAGATCATCGCAGACGCAAACGGACTTTGTTGCTCCCCTCGTCAAAAAAAACGTCAGCGCGGACTTTCAAAGGAAGCTGCTCAAATTCGAGAGTACCATAGCTCAAAGCGACAAGAAACCTGTGGCTTTCTTCATCGAGAATACAAGCAAGGAGAACGTTCCGATGAACATGTACATACCGAGTTTAGCGAGCAAGAACAAGCAGTACAAAAGCAAGTATTGCAACGTCTTAAACAATAAGCCCGAGTTCAACATGGAGATATACGAGGAGAGCGGCAATTACAGCGTCAATTTCGAGAAAACCAAGCAGAAGAACAAGGTGATTCAGGAGACGTCGAGTTTGGATCGCCATTTGTTCGCCAAGAGTCTCTTCACGAGTGAAAAAATTACCCATAAACCGCCGAAGAGTGTTAGAAGGCACAGCTCGAAAACTAAAAAAACCAAAACCAGCTACGAGTACGTTAAAAAAGAGGATTTCTACAGCAACAAGAAGCTTAACAACGCTCTCGACGAAAAGACCATAGAGTTCAGCTATAAGGAGAAAAACATCGAAACAGATTTGGAGATGTCGAACAGGCAGCAATCGTCAATATTAAACGAACTGTACGACTCTTTAGACAAGAATATATTCAGCAGCAAAAACGATTTAGACTCACTGGAGGTTAACTTGAACACAGGGGGGGCAGATGATAAAATCTACGACTCCCTAGAATCCAACTTGTGGAGTAAAACATCCACGATGAAGATCAAAAAAACCCCGGATAACAAAATACAACTAGACTTGGAAAACATCAAGATCCTCAACGAGATCCAGAGGAAGATCCAGAAAATCAACAACCTAATCGACGTCTTTAAGAAAAACGTTACATGCGGAAAAGTGCGGGCTCTCTCGAGCTTGTACGAGAGCCTTCACAACTCTCAAAGCTACTACAACGACTTGACCAAACTTCAAACGACCCCCATCAAATTTCGCCGCAGAAACTTGAGCCTGCCTTCGTTTGTAGAGCGCCGTCTCAACTTCGACACCAAACCGTCGAACGTCAACGTCAGGGTCGGCGATTCCGACGAAGGTACTCGAGCATGCGCACCGCGTCGCTTGCGCTGTGCTATGCTCCGCAGCTCAAAGTCCCACCACGCGACCGCGTACGGAACGCGGTCTTTCGAAAATTTGGCGTTTAAGGCTTTTCAGGTTGTGTATCTGTCAAAGTATAGTCGACGAAAGAAATAATATTATGTTCAGGCGTTAAAAATGTATAAATCTTTATAACATTACAATAACAATGGATGGTTTAAGAATTTAAGAATATAATACTGCATTAAATGAAATTCTAAAGTGCATGGTGCCAAATAAGTAATATTTTTGTGCATTTAGACCAAATATCTGGTTTTCTCCATAAAATAATTTTAACTAAACAGCATTTATTTAAAAAAATCTAGCTTCTCTTTTATGGAATAAGAATATCCGTATTAAAGGTAGGTTAATATATTATAACAAAAATATCATCTAATTTTGTAATTTTAAGGTTGGAAAAATTTATTTTGACCAAAATAAATATTTTGAATTATTTAAAAAACTGTATAATATGGTATTTAAAAATGTGGTAGTTTTTCTCATCCAGCTTAAAGTGTACCTACATAAAGTTTTGTCAATACAAATAGTTAAAAAGCTTCAAATGAATTTGATCTACATCAAAAAATCATTATAACTTTAAAAATTTTAATAAATCACATGTCATGGGAGTATTAAATATTTTCACATTTTCTCTAAAAATTGTTTGTTTTCTTATAATCTAACTTAAAGTAAGTATGCCGAGAGGTATGCACAAGTTTTGTCATTGGAAGTATAAAAGCTTCAATTTAATTTGAACTATATTCAACAATTATTTAGTATACCTATATTTATTTATGACCATATTAATACACTCAAATAATCCACTTATTTATTTTGGTCAAAATAGATTTTTCTAACCTTAAAATACAAAATTAGATGATATTTTTTGTTCTAATGCATTAACCTACCTTTGATACAGATATTCTTATTTCATTATAGAGAAGTTGGATTTTTTTTAATAAATGCTGTTTAGTTAAAACTATTTTATGGAGAAATGTAGACCCAATGCACAAAAATATCACTTATATTGCACCTTACACTTTGGAATTTCATTAAATGCAATATTTATATTCCTAAATTCTTAAACCAACCATTGTTATTGTGATACTATAAAGGTTTATTAACTGTTAACGCTTAAACATAAGCGTTAACACTATAAATATGATTTCTTTCATTGACTATACTTTGACAGATACATAACCTGAAAAGCCTTAAACGCCAAATTTTCAAAAGACTGCGTTCCGTACGTGGTCACGTGGTGGGACTTTGAGGTGCGGAGCATAGAACATAGCCGATGTTTTTGTTCCCCCTTCCCTTAGCACGACCTCCTCGCCCTTCTCCGTTATTTTTTTTATAGTTTTAAAGGTGCATGTTTTTTTTTCGAGCTACGCAAAACGATTTGGGACTCGAAGGTAAATACATTTTTTTGTGTAGCTTGAAGAAGAGAGCCGTTTATTTTTATTGCATCCTCGCATGTTTTTTCAGTGTATGTGAGTGATGAGGACGATAAAAGTTTACGTAGGTCGTGCAGTTTGGTCGATTTGAGCATGACGTCAAATTCTTCCATACCGGCCAGAAAACTAGACAGCGGTAAGTTGTAAGCTTAAAAAAAATTGGTTTGTGGCTTTGGGATTAACCTTCCTCTAACACATTATTGTTCAAAATAAGCAGCTGACTTCAAAGAAGATTCAGCTGCTCCTTGTTAGACCATGCAAGACCGCGTAGCAGTAAAGACTTCGAATTGAATTTTGACTTTTTAAGCTCTACTTATCTGTTTTCTTCTGCATGCGCACAGTATTAGCGTTCAATGTACACTTTAGTCTTTTCTTTGATGATTTATGGAAGCGCTCCTGTTAAAAGTTTTTATGAATTCCTTTTAAAACGTGCTTTCAAATGACTTTGGAAAAAGTTAGAGTTAGATGTTCTAATACTATATATTTTTTTTAACCTTGTTTCATCCATTGACTACTCACGGTGCTGTTCTGAGAGGTGATTTTTGGACTTTCTGTGAAACCTAATTTTTTTTATATTCTTGTTAATTAGGTCATAACTAAAATTTTAAGAGCAAAATAAAAAAAATTTGACGGTTAAATTTGTTTTAATTGGATGTTTATTAAAAATATGTATGCACACTTTCAATTCTCCAATTAAAACTAGCGATTTAATTTAAATATTTAATATTTGCATAACTAAAAAAAGGTTTTTACATTTTTTTTTATATATTTTACTGTTTTGTTGCAATAAACGTTCAAACTTTTAATCTAACCTTTGACGTATACATTTATGTTCCCTTAATTAATATTTCCTTAACACTTTAACTGCCGGCAACGCGGCTACCGCGTTCTTGTGTATTTTACAATATGCCGAGCACGCGGGACCCGCGTTCTGTACGGTGGCATAAAGCATGGTTTTTGTCGCTGGGTGCCGCCAACGCGTCTACCGAGTTTGTTTATTTGTTTTTTGTTTAGTATTTTTTCATATAGAACCTTTCAATATGAAACGAAAGAAACAAGTTTTAGTCCATTTTTATTTAAAATTTCTAAAAAAAGCCATCGGCACTGCAACATGGGCGGACTATTACGTCGGCAGTGAACGTGTTAAAGGTTACCATGAAACTTAGATCTATTAAAAATTTATTTGACGTTTGAATTGTCATTTTCAGTAGGTATATACGTATTCTATAATTTTTGTTAAGTTTTTTAAAGTGTTTTTTATAAACAAAAATGAAAAATATTAGTAAAAGTTACGAAGAAATTCATGAAATTTAACTAAGGACCGGTTTATTCATCTTTAGTAAAGTTTATCGGGCCGATAACTTTCATGTCTTGGCAATATCTAGTTTCCAAAGAAATTATTCGTCAAATAAATCAAAAATAAATAAATCGGCCCTAAATAAAATGTGGAACCCTTAGAATTATTGTTTAATAAATGTATACTATACATTTAACCTTAAATTAAAACTTTAAACGTGTATTACAACAAAACAGTAAAAGATATAAAAAATGTATAGACCTTTTTTTAGGAAATTAACTAATCTTTAATCGGATTTAAAAAGTTATGATAATATTTAAATAAAAGTTTTAATTGGAGAAGTGTGTATACATATTTTTAATAAACATCCAATTAAAACAAAATTAACCGTCAATTTTTTTTTATTTTGCTCTTAAAATTTTAGTTATGACCTAATTAACAAGAATATAAAAAAAAATTAGGTTTCACAGAAAGTCCAAAAATCACCTCTTAGAACAGCACCGTGTACTGTGTAAAAATAGATAAATTTCGATATTTAAGATAAAATGTAGACATTATTATTGGCAATAAATCCACGTATTGTTTTTTTTTAGATTTTAACATACAGGGGGCACTGGGGACAATTTCATTTAAAATTTTACCGTTTTTTAAGGGTTAAAAAGTCGAAGAAGCAACATTGTTTTATAATTTTGAGTATATCACGTTAAAGTACTGATAATTAACTATGATTTGATATATAAACTTCTACATGCAAATTAGGTTTTTTTTTGTATATAACATACAATTCTTACATATTTATTTTAAAAAATCGCCATAGATGAAGATAAAATTACTTTTATTTATAAATTATAGACTCTATGGTAACCTACCATTGGAAGCATGAAAGATAATATGACAGTTCAGTTTATAAGTTGCAAATGACTGATTGCGTTTCAATTTTTAAGTGTACTATAAACTCAAAACATTAATTTATTAAAACGAATAAACTAAATAATAATTATGGACAGTGTCAGCAAGTTAGAAATTATAACCTGCTTTAATTTTATTTTTTGCTCCACAAACAAGCTTCAATTCATTTTTTAAATAAATTAGAATAAAGACTTAATTTTTTATGTTGCGATTTGATTTAGACTATATATAAAGTCAAAACTAGCCTCTTATTTTTTTGTTATAATGTTTTCTGAAATGGGGTTGGAATTTTTGGAATATTAAAACATTGTTTTTCAACAAATAGCTTGAGAAAAACCACTTGAAATTAGGCAAACTTCAAACAATAATAACGTTTTTATTATAAATGTAAAACCCTGTATGTTTTAACATAATCAAATAGAAAATTAAAGAATCTTTCGATTGGTATTATAATAACTGTTTCCCAAAGTTAAAATTTTAGAGACATTCAACAATTTCCAATACTGGCAAAATAATCGATCTACACCATCTTTCGATGAATTTGAATCGCAAATAACTTTTTTATTTGATGTCGGATTTAAACGAATATTAAAAAATATTGTAGATAAATTAATGGAAAATCGTTCACATTTTAAAAAATTACAAAAAATAGACGTACGTTTATAATATACAGGTTTAAACAAAAATATGTTTTTTACCATAAGTTTAAGACACTCTGTAGAGTGGCAAAACCGTATATTGTTGTAAATTAAGTTTTATTTATCAAGTCACATCTATTTTTAACAGTTTTGTTTTTGGTTCACCTCGATATATTTATTTTTGTGGAAAATATGGATTTTTTAAAAAACATTGCAATTTTCAATATTTTTCTGTATGAAGAATTAAGGTTGCTATGGTCCATCCATAGCCTATGGAGGATGACAGTGACAGTTTTGTTGAATCATCCCATACTTGGACATGTCATACACGGCTTTCAAAAGCTATGAAATTGTTTTTTGCAAATTAATGTTTAAATTTTGAGGTGTCTTCTTACTTTAAAAAATGGATATGTCTCCGACTGATGTTGCCAGAGCCATTAATTTAATCCAGGATGGACGGCCACAGTATTACGTGGCAAGTGTTTTAAACGTCACAAGAAGTAAAGTACATCAGTCGGAGACATTTTTAAAAGTAAGAAGACACCTCAAAATTAACACATTAATTTACAAAAAACAATTTGATACCTTTTGAAAGCTGTATATGACATGTCCAAGTATGGGATGATTCAACAAAACTGTCACTGTCATCCTCCGTAGGCTATGGATGGACCATAGCAACCTTAGTTCTTCATACAGGAAGAATATTGGAAATTGCAATGTTTTTTTTATTTTGCCTGTGAGTGTATTTTCAATACTATTTTGTATCAACAAACCTGTGAAATTCTACATGTGGGTTAATGTGACAGTATCCATGGTTATCATGGTTACTGATCATTAATAGTCCTGGACAATAGTCACCTAAAATATTTAAATGTGAAATGCAATGTATCTTTAAAACTATCTATGATCTATGATCTACGTCTTCCTGCTTAAATTCTTCTTGGTTTAAATTAAGCGAGTCCTAATTGATGTCTCCGCAGTGTCGGGC